GCAGGAGCAGGACTGGGGGCGCGGGAGGGACACCCACGGGCTGGGCTCGGGGCTGCTGGGCTGGGAAGGAGGAAGCGTGACAGCTGGAGCGGGTGGCCAGAAGGGTTTGCGCCGGGACGCGGGGGGCTGCGGAGAGCTGGGCCAGACCCGGGCGCTTCTCCAGACGTTCCCCTCCATCCCTCCCGCTTCCTCGGAGGGATGGCGACAGGGGGATCCTAGGACCCCACTCGGAGGAAAGTCCCTTTCGGAACCTCCACAGCGCCGCACAGGTGGAGAAGGGTTCTGGTTTGGCCTCCTGGTCCCCAATTCCCCACCCCCATCCTTTCCCCACCTGTCACGGGGAAGTTTCTGAAAATACCAGAGTCTGAATCCCACTTTTCTCCTTTAAATAGGAGAAATGAGCTTTGCTGAGGAACATATGCAATTATTATAGGGCATCCAACCTCAGAACATGCAAGCCCACATCCCCCAACCATGCCAACCTTGTAACTTCCTCCTGTAGTACGCAATGACACCTTCCACACACACACTACCCCCTAACCAGGCAGCACCACAACCTTCAGTCTTAGTGGTTCAATGTTGGTGGCGGCTTAGTGAGTTTTGAGTCTTCAAGCCAAGGGATTCCTTCTCAGGGGCCACTAACTAGATGAGCAGGGAAGAGCAGACCTTCAGTTCTGGGAGAGAAGAGGAGGATACAGTCCCTGGCGTGATTAAGGGATTCAGGAGTCCATGTACTCAGGCTTGGGCCCTCAAACTAGGAGTGCCTGCCCCTTGGGGTGTTTGCTGGGGTAGCCTGAATGTTTGGGGACATAGCAAATTCTTCAGAAATGGCCAGCGTATATGACTGGGAATGTGTGCGGCGAATGCTAAAGTGAAAAAGGAAACTTTAAATATTAGCACTGGTTTTGGAAATAATGTTTATCTCTTGGTTACCAGAAAATTTAGTATTGATGTTTAAAATTAGACCTGGAGAACAACAGGCCCTAAGACAGTACAATGAACTAACGACAGGGTGTCTAGAGTCTGAATGTGACCCTGAAAGAGTCTGTCTCTCTCTGTTTCTCAGTTTCCTCCTCTTTAAAATATGAGGGTTGATGACTCTCAGCTCTGAGGATGTTCTAAGATTCTCTGCCTCCAAGTCAGTTTCTTTCTTTCTCACCCCAAGTCTTTAGGGGCGGGGCAGGGAAACCAGAGGAGGGAAGGGAAGGGTGAGTCACAAATAGCTAGCAGGCAGCAGACCCCACCCTCCTGGCCCTGGCATTCGCCTGGACTGGCCCAGGTTATAGCCTCAGGGTTGGGATGGAGCTGGAGGACAGAATTGGGATTGTTCCAGGTCTTTAAGGCCCTGGGATCCTGTAGTTTGCTGCCCTTCAGCTCCAGGGGAAGCCAGGTTTTCAGTGAGAAAAGTCAGGAGGACAACTGAAAAGATCCCAGGAACCCTTATTCCAAGCTTCCAGCCCAGGGATGTCCTTGAACCCTCACAGTCTGGTTTCTAGTCACCTTATCATCCTCCCAGGGCAAAGTTCAGAATCCTGATACTATATGTTTGTGCTTGACATATATAACAAGCAAGAAAGGTGTGCAGCTGGGCTTCACTGATGCTGGCAGTCCTGAAATGGATGCTTTCCTGATTCAAAACTATCATTTGCCCTAAACTCCAGAAGTGTTTCTCTAGGTACTACCCTAATTATAATAATGATCATAGCAAATGTTTATTGAGTTCTTACTCTGTGCTAGGCTGTTTGCTAAGTACATTGCATATATCATCTTATTTAATGCCCACATTCTGACTGACTTCTCTAGGTACCCATTTTACTGATGAGAAAACTGAGGTTCAGGGAAATTAAGTGGCTCATTCGAGAGCTAGGATTCTAATCCATGCCTGCCTAATTTGAAAGTCCCTTCTCTTAACCTCTACTGTTTACTACTTATCCAGGTTTAAGACCTGAAGAGCCACGAAGGGGCAAGAAAGAGTTGGTTCATTGTAAAAAGAGAGGCAGACGAGAAGTGCCCTGTCTTCTCTTCATTGTCCCGGGTTTGCTCTTGTCCCTGTCACTTTCTCTCTCATACTCCATTTCCTAGAAACTTGGAGTCATCTTAGAATCCCCAGGGGTAATAGAGAGGCTAATTAGCTAGAAGACTATTAGCTAGAAGACTGTTATGCATTAACTAGTTGAATTATAGTCATTGAAAAGGGCCGGATGGGCAGAGTCCTTTCTCTAGTGTCCCAGAACTCTCTTCTACATGTTCCCAGAGGGCTGCTGGAACAGGAATGCTATACTGCTTAGAGGTGGGCAGCAGAGATGTCCCAAGGGCAGAGGTTGCAGAGAAGGTTCTTGCACCATCAGAAAGGAAAGGGGCTGGGCTATTCTTGTAGGCTCTAACTGCCTCCCTGAGCCTGACCCAACAAGCCCTCAATGAGTGGGTGGAGGTCAGAGTGTTTGATGGAATGTGCAATAATTACTTTTCAGCAGCATTCATTCATTTAACAAATATTTATTTAGCACCTAGTACATAAGCTCCAAACTATCTCATATTCCCCTGACTATCAGATGAACCTCTGGCATCATCATTTAGCCATATTTGGATTATTTATTTATTTATTTTAGTTGGAGTCTCATTCTGTTTCCACGACTGGAATACAGTGGAATGCTCAGAGCTTAGCCTTGACCTCCCGGGCTCAGGTGATCCCATCTCAGCCTCCCTAGCAGCCAGGTCTACAGGCTTACACCACCATACCCAGCTGATTTTGTTTTTTGTTGTTTGTAGAGACATATTCTCACTATGTTTCTTAAGCTGGTCTCAAACTCCTAGGTTCGAGTGATCCTCCCAACCGAGCTTCCCAAAGTACTGGGATTACAGGCGTGAGCCATTGTGCCTGGTTATATTTGGATTAATAGTCCCAAAATATGACTACCCAGCTTTACACAACTATTTGTATGATCGACATTGAGCACCCACTACATGCTGGGAAGGATGTCCCAGGCAGAAAGAACAGCAAGTCTTACGGCCTTGATATGGAAAAACTTGGCATGCTGGAGGAACAGAAAGGAGGACAGTACGACTAGATGACAGTGTGTGAAGGGGAGAGTGGAACAAGAGGAGGACAGAGTGACGGGCAGTGGCCCTACCATTCGGTGCTTAAGCTGGTGCCTCAGGTTTTCCACATATCAACTGCCTTACGAAGTTCCAGCTTCTCTGACCTCCACCCACTCTTCATCTGTGGAGTGGCTATGCCAATAAATTTCTGTCTCAGAGGATTTGATTTGATTCTAATTGGGTTTTTTGTTTGTTTGTTTTTGTTTTTTGAGTCAGAGTCTCTGTCACCCAGGCTGGAGTGCACTGGCACAGTCACGGCCACTGCAGCCTCAACCTGCTGGGTTCAGGCTATCCTTCTGCCTCAGCCTTCCAAGTAGTTGGAACTACAGGCGTGTGCCATCACACCCGGCTAATTTTTTGATTTATTGTAGGGACGAGGTATCACCAAGCTGCCCAGGCTGGTATCGAACCCATGAGCTCAGGCAGTCCTCTCATCTCGGCCTCCCAAAGTGCTGGGATTACAGGCTTGAGCCACCGCACCAGGCCCGATTCTAATTGTTAATACAATAACAGCTACCATTTCTTGTAGGCCTCCTGTATGCCAGGCGTTATACTAGGCACTTTTCTTTTGAGACAGGGCTTTGCTCTGTCACCCAGGCTGGAGTGCACTGGCGCAATCATAGCTCAACGTAGCCTTGAACTCCTGGGCTTGAAGGATCTTGCTACCCCAGCCTTCAGAATAGCTGGGATTAACTGGCATGCACTACAACACTCAGCTAGTTTTTTCCATTTTTTGTACAGACTGGATCTTGCTATGTTGCCCAGGCTCATCTCAAACACCTGGCTTCAAGTGATTCTTCTGCCTCAGCCTCTCAAAGTGCTAGGATTACAGGCGTGAGCCACCATGCCCAACTCATATATTATTTTACTTAAGCCTCACAACTGTGAAAGAAAGGTTATCATTCTCCCCATTTTACAGATGTAACTTGCCCATGACACACAGTGATATCAGAGCTAAGAATGGAAGCCAGGTATGATTGACCCTAGTACTTTTTGACTCCAAACCCTACTGTATTATTCTAATGTAAACTAAATTATTGTTGTTGTTGTCATTGAATCAAGGCCAGTCACCCTCTGGGACTTGGTCCTTGGCAGGATCCACGGGCCGGCTGGCTCCTCCTTGGTCCCCAGGTCCATTAACCAAAAATTGGGGCTCCCCAGACACTGCTAACCTAGCAGGAAGGAAGGAAGATCCCGCCGAGACTCCGGGACTCCTGCACTCAGCTCCACCTTCCCGGGACTGGGAAACCAGGCGGGTGCCCGGGGCCTCCTCCCCACCCGCGCCCTGTCCGCCCTTCCCCAAAGCCGAGCTCCGAATGCCGGCGAGGCGGGGCCGGGGCCAGGGACTCGGCCAGAGCTGGTTCCGTGTCGCGCGTCAGAGGCACTAGCGGTCGTTGCGGGGCGTGGGTGGCTCGGGGAGCGGGCGGCTGAGCCGGGCTGCCGGGACGGGACCGGAGGCGGAGCGAGATGGGGTCGTGCCCGGGAAGGCGTGCTAAGGCAGTGAGAACCACCCAGCAGAGGGCCGGACTGCGAGCAGCACAGGCTGGGGACAGACTGCAGGGACTGGGGGTGGCAGGAGAAAGTGCAGCAACGGGCGAGGGACACACTCCAGAAGCATGTGTAGACTGGGAAAGCAGGGGAGGGGGCTGGGGGGTGAGGGAGGGGAGGAGAATCAGGACAGACTGCGGGAGAAGTCAGAGAGAAGAAGGATCCAGAAAGTAAGAGAAAGTTAAAGATGAGTGAGAGAAACAGACAGAACAGACGCTGTCAGGGGAAGCAGAGACATGGGGGAGAGGGACACAGGGAAAGGGAGATAATTAGGGAGGGACTCAGAGATGAGGAAAGAACAGAATAATAGTGCGAGTAGAGACTGGATGGAACAGACAGAAGAAAAGGCACGCAGACAGCTGGCTCTTCCCGCTGCCAGCTCCTGCCATCTTCCTCCAGGACTACCCTCTGAAGAAGTCCAAGCGTCTCAGGCACTTCTACCAAGCCGCCTTTGTGGCCATCCTTAGGAAAAACAGACAGATGGCCAAGGAGAGGGGCCTCATAAGCCCCAGTGATTTTGCCCAGCTGCAAAAATACCTGGAATGTAAGTCTTCCTCCCAGCCCTTCAGGTCTGGAGAAGCTACCTAGAGAATCCCCCTCCTCTCGCCCCAGCTCCCCGCCTCGCAGTTTCCCCAGGGCCCTTGAGCCCCTCTGCCCCTCAGTTATGTCCTTGACTGGGAGGTGGGGTGATGCCTGAGATCTCAGCTGTCTGCCCACCTGTCTCTTGCACCAGCTCTCAGAGAAGAGGGATGAAGGGCAGTACCACTTTGGAGGGCCAGAAATGTTTTTCCCTTTGTCTTTTCCTCTTGAAATTTCTTCTTCATCTCATTTGAATCTTTTTTCCTGCTGATGTCCGGGTGGGACTCTGAGGGAAGGCAGGGAGAGCTGAGCAGATCTGATGTTCTTCTCCTCACTCTTCACACCCTAGACTCCACCAAAAAGGTCAGTGTTGTTCTCAAGCTCTTCGAGGATGGTGAGATGGCCCAGTATCTCCAAGGAGATGTGAGTGGCAGCTGGGAGAAACTCTCCTTGCCCAACTCTTCCCGTTTCTGTTTTTGCTACTCCATCAGGATCCCCAACTTTCAGGGATTATTCTAGGCCCCCCCCCATTGCTGTCCCCGCCTTGAGATACCCCAGTGTCCATCGTCACTGTAGCTATTGCTTTAGGACAAAACAAGAGATTCTGTTATCTCAGGACTTGGCCCAAGAAACTATGTTTCTGCCTCAGAAGTGTCTCAGCTCAGCCCTTATCATCTCTCTCCCCCTACTCCCAATTCTTCAGTCCCCAACTCCCACCCTGCAGACTCCCAGGGTAATGCTCACTGTCATCGTAGGCCATTGGGTATGAGGGATTCCAGCAATTCCTGAAAATCTATCTGGAAGTGGATGATGTTCCCAGACGCTTAAGCCTGGCACTGTTTCAATCTTTCCAGACTGATCATGGCTTAAACGAGACTGTGACAAAAGGTACGGTCGAGCAGGTAGGACTGGACTGGGCATCCGGAAGAAAAGTCAAATTAGTGTGGGTTTGGGGTTGCGAGGTGATCTGAGTCACATGTTGTGCAGGTGGGGGGGGGGGGGGGGGGGGTGGAGGGTGGTCATGCTGAGACTGGGAGCCAGAGGGAGGAAAGTTAAAGGCGAGAGGTGGAACACACGAAGGAGACGAGGCCAGGGCAGAGGGAGTCCTGACCTCTGATCTGCTATGCTTTTTGGTAACCAGATGTGGTGTGTCTCAGTGACGTCTCCTGCTACTTTTCCCTTCTGGAAGGTGGCCGGCCAGAAGACAAGCTAGAATGTGAGTTGCCATTTTGAACTGAGCGGGGGAGGTGATAGGAGAGAGAGGTGTTCCCCTAGCCTCCCTTCCCTCATTCTCTCAGGATTCCTAAAGGCTGACAGAGCCAGACAAAGGTGGGGCCAGAGAATGAGTCCATTTCCTGTCTTCCCCCAGACTGCTTATGCCCAGTGCCATCCACTGTAGTCACTCCCATTCCCGTATCATGTACATTCCCATGTAGGTGGCCTGGTGTTTTCTTGGGGAATGGAGTGTGTGCTCTCTCCTCTGTCAGGTTCACTGAGGGTGGAATCCATACCTGTTCTCCCTCCCTTTTTGCCTCCTTTCTTAGTCCCATCCCAAGCTCTAGGCTCTTCACCCAAAAACTCTCTCTGTCTCTTTGTTTCACCTGTTTTCTGGTATGATGTCTTTGGGTATTTCTCACAAACTGACCCTGGCCCCCTAAACACCCGCAGTCACCTTCAAGCTGTACGACACGGACAGAAATGGGATTCTGGACAGCTCAGTGAGTTGGGGAACCTGTGTTGGGCAAGGGAATATGTGTCCATTTGTCTGTCTGCCCAAGCTCTTCCAGGGTCTTCAGAAGCAGAGGAGGCTAGGGAGAGAGGATGAGTGCTCTAGGAATAAATTTGGGAGTAGGTCCCAATCACTTGACCCCTTAAAGAGCAGGCTGGAGACCTGAACTGGGGGCTGCCTTGCAAACATACAAACACCTTCATTTACTTGGCAGAGGCCCACGAGACTGAAAGGTGGGTGTGAGGGTGGAACCCAGGAACCCTGACTTTTGAAGAAGAGTTCAGGTGGTGGTAGTGAGGGGGACATGGCTGAGGCTCTTACCCTCTTTGCCCAGGAAGTGGAGAAAATCATCCTACAGATGATGCGAGTGGCTGAATATCTCGACTGGGATGTGTCTGAGCTGAGGCCGGTAAGGCAGCCCTTCTTGCGTGTTCCTTCTTGTCCTTTCTTCCCCGGTGAGTCCTACATCTGCTTTACCCTGTGTCTGACAGGCGGCCTGGTTCCCTTGGCCAGGGTGGCTGGGCTGGGTGTCCTGAGAGACAGGGGAGAGGTGTCAGGTATAAGGAGCCACTCACACCAAAAGTCCCTTTCCATTCCACACTCAGATTTTTCAGGAGATGATGAAGGAGATTGACTATGATGGCAGTGGCTCTGTCTCCCTAGCTGAGTGGCTCCGGGCCGGGGCCACCACCGTGCCACTGCTGGTGCTGCTGGGTCTAGAGATGGTGAGTAGGAGAGACTGGCGAGGACGGGTAAGACAGCTGCCTTGAGTGTGCTTGCCAGGGTTGGCCCTCTAAGGGCCTAGACGCTTCTAGCATCTTCTGTGCCCTCGCAGACTCTGAAGGACGATGGGCAGCATATGTGGAGACCCAAGAGGTTCCCCCGACCAGTCTACTGCAACCTGTGCGAGTTGAGCATTGGTCTTGGCAAACAGGGGCTGAGCTGTAATCGTGAGTGACGGGACCGGGGAGTGTGGGAGAAGGGGGCAACCCAGCTGTCAGTGGGGACACAGCACTCTGAATTTAGAGAGACCTTGGTTGGAATCCTGGCCTTTACCACTGATTAGTTATGTGACCTTGGGAAAGCCACATTACTTCCTTTTTTTTTTTTTTGAGTTGGAGTCTCACTCTGTAACCCAGACTGGAGTACAGTGGCCGCTCCCGGCCACCGCAGCCTCGACCTGCTGGGCTCTGGCAATCCTTCCGCTTCAACCTTCCGCATAGCCGGAATTATAGGTGCAAGCTACCACGCCCGGCTGATTTTTTGATTGTAGAGATGAGGTCTTGTCTGCCCAGGCAGGTCTTGAACCCGCGGGCTCAGGCAATCTACTCACCTCAGCCTCCCAAAGGCGCGGGATTACAGGCTGAGCCACCAAGCCCGGTTACTTCCTTTTTTTTTTTTTTTTTTTAATCAGAGTCTCACTCTGTTGCCCAGACTGGAGTACAGTGGCACAAACCTAGCCTCAAACTCCTGGGCTGAAGGGATCCGCCCCCTTCAGCCTCCCAAGTAGCTGGGACTACAGGTATGCGCCACTATACCCAGCTAATTTTTTTTAATTTTTTTGAAGAGACAAGGTCTCGCTATGTTGCCCAGACTAGTCTCGAACTCCTGGGCTCAAGCAATCCTCCTGTCTCAGCCTCCCAAAGTGCTGGAATTATAGGCATGAGCCACCATGCCAAGCCCACATAACTTCTTTAGGCCTTAGTTTCCTCAAAATTAAGTAATTGTGAGGATTAAATAAGTTGCTACAAGAAAAGTGCTTCATATGATGCATGCACATACAATAAAATACAATTTAAATGAGCTATTATTATATATATATTTATAGCAGAAATGAGGTTTTGCTGTGTTGCCCAGGCTGGTCTTGAACTCCTGAGCTCAAGCAATTCTCCCATCTCCTCAAGTGCTGGGATTACAGGCATAAGCCCCCGTGCCCAGTCATCTATTATTATTATTTTTTTTTTTTTTTGAGTTTGAGTCTCACTCTGTCACCCAGGCTGCTGGAATGCAGTGGCATTCTTGTGGCCTCCGCAGCCTCAATCTGCTGGGCTAAGCAGTCCTTCTGCCTCAGCCTTTCAAGTAGCTGAAACTACAGGCACACACTATCACGCCCGGCTAATTTTTCTTGACTTATTGTAGAGATGAGGTCTCGCCAAGTTGCCCAGGCTGGTCTTGAACCCCTGAGCTCAGGCAGTCCTCTCTCCTCGGCCTCCCAAAGCACTGGGATTACAGGCTTGAGCTACTGCTCCCATCCTATTATTATTATTTATTTTTTATTATTTTTTTAAGTTGGAGTCTCTCTGTCGCCCGGACTGGAGTGCAGTGGCCGCTCCCGGCCACTGCAGCCTCAACCTGCCGGGCTCCGGCGATCCTTCCGCCTCAGCCTTCCAAGTAGCCGGAATTCGCTACCACGCCCAGCTGATTTTTTTTTTTTATTTATTGTAGAGATGAGGTCTTGCTGCCCAGGCGGGTCTCGAACCCGCGGGCTAGGGCAATCCACTCACCTCAGCCTCCCAAAGGTGTGGGATTACAGGCTGAGCCACCGAGCCCAGCCCTGTTATTATTATTAATGTTATACCCAGGCCCGGCGTGGTAGTTCATGCCTATAAATCCAGCACTTTGGAAGGCCGAGGTGAGAGGATTTCCTGAGCCCATAGGTTCGAGACCATCCTGGGCAACTTAGCGAGACTTCGTCTCTACAATAAATCAAGAAAAATTAGCCGGGCATGGTGGCACATGCCTGTAGTTCCAGCTGTTTGGAAGGCTGAGGCGGAAGGATCACCTGAGTCCAGAAGATCATGGCTGCAGTGATTGTGAGCATGCCACTGCTCTCCAGCCTGGGCAACAGCGTGGGACTCTGACTCAAAAAGAAAAAGAAAAGGCTGGGCTTGGTGGCTCAGCATGTAATGCCAGCACTTTGGGAGGCCAAGGTGAGTGGATGAATGGATTGCCTGAGCCTGCGGGTTCGAGACCCGCCTGGGCAACTTGGCGAGACCTCATCTCTACAATAAATCAAAAAATTAGCCGGGCATGGTAGTGTGTGCCTGCAGTTCCAGCTCCTTGGAAGGCTGAGGTGGAAGGATCGCTGGAGCCCAGCAGTTCAGCGTTGGGGTGGCCACTGCCCTCCAGCCTGGGCGACTGAGTGAAACTCCAACTCAAAAAAAAAAAAGTTATAGTGGGGCCTCCCTTGTACCGCCCAGCTCAGTTCCCGCCTGGCACGGCACATGGATGGTGTGGGGCCAGGCATGAGATAGGAGTTGCTCCTTTACGTGGAAAGGTGAGGAAAAGGCAGGGGTTTCGGAGGTGAGCCCTCCCCCTCCAACTTTAGTTATCTGTCACATCCTCACAGCAAGGTGTCATAGGTCTGATCCTGCCTCAGCCCCAGGCAAGGAGGAATGGGGGGGAGGAGCCACAGCTGAAGCTCTGACCTTCTTCCCTCTCCCTCAGTCTGTAAGTACACTGTTCACGACCAGTGTGCCATGAAGGCCCAGGCTTGTGAAGTCAGCACCTATGCCAAGTCTCGGAAGGACATTGGTGTGAGTGACCTACCCCCATCCTGGCCCTGGCCCTGCCCTCAGCCCCTCCCTCCCATCGGCCCTGCTCAGACCCTCCCACACAAGGAACTGCCCCTCTCCCCAAGGTCCAATCGCATGTGTGGGTGCGAGGAGGCTGCGCGTCAGGGCGCTGCGACCGCTGTCAGAAAAAGATCCGGATCTACCACAGTCTCACCGGGCTGCATTGCGTATGGTGCCACCTGGAGGTCAGTTTGGGAGCCACCCAACAGGCTGTGTCTCGGGCACCCCCTGGAGCTGCCCTCTCCTCCCCGCAGCCCTCCTGGCCACAGCTCCCCAGCAGCCACCGTTGCCCGTGCTCCCCCTTGGGAGCTCTCTTTCCAGTCCCCCAAGGTTGAGAGGTGGCAGGGTCCCTCCATGACCTCTCTGTGCCGGCCTTGACTTTCAGATCCACGATGACTGCCTGCAGGCCGTGGGCAATGAGTGTGACTGTGGGCTTCTCCGGGATCACATCCTGCCTCCGTCTTCCATCTATCCCAGTGTCCTGGTGAGACCCAGGGCAGCAGCTGTGTGTGGTGGGGGTGGGGCGGGGCAGGAATGCCTCCTGGATTTCACACACACACACACACACACACACACACACACACACACACACAGTCACACACTCACACAGAATACTGTTTAGAAGAGACAGCCCACACTTTTAGGATTCAAGTCAGACCATGTATGTACGGATTCACGCTTAAATCCATCTCTCCTTCCCTCTGCTTTCCTTTCCTCTCAGGCCTCTGGACAGGATCGTAAAAGTAGCAAAACAAGCCAGAAGATGATGGATGATTTAAATTTGAGCACCTCTGAGGCTCTGCGGGTACAGGGCTGAGGGTCTTGGGCTTTATGGTGGGGCCAGGTTTTCCCTGGAGCCCTTGGAGGGAATGAAATGGGGAAACCTTGGAGGTGATACTGGCTTTCTAGAAACTCCACCCTGTAAGGGAAGGGGCTGTTGAAGAGGAAGGAGGGGGGAAAACGTCAGGGCCCACAAGACTCTGACAAAAATCCTGCTTACTTTATCCTTATTTTCTTCCCCCAATGCAGATTGACCCTGTTGCTAACACCCACCCACTTCTAGTCTTTGTCAATCCTAAGAGTGGCGGGAAGCAGGGGCAGAGGTGAGAGAGATCCCGGGTCTTCTAAGGTGGAGAGGGAGGGAGAGAATGTGTGTGTCTGGAGGGGCCTGCCTAGATGAGGACAAGAGGTTGGGGTACAGAATATTTCCCTCCCCTCTCCTCTGCCATGAGCTTTCCTTTCTCCCTTCTCACACAGGGTGCTCTGGAAATTCCAGTATATCCTAAACCCTCGACAGGTGTTCAACCTCCTCAAGGATGGTCCTGAGACAGGGTGAGATTTGTGCTGTATCGGTGTTTCGGTGTGTCTGAGAGCTCAGGAAAGAGTGTGTGTTGGGAGAGGGCAGCTAGAGGACCCCATGAGGCCAGAATTCAGATTATATCTTTCCCCAGGGTCACTAGGTATCCCATCTTCTGAGCTCTCTGACCCATCTTTGTCCTCTCGAAGGCTGAAGGTGACTGGGCGCAATGGCTCATGCCTGTAATCCCAACACTTTAGGAGGCCAAGGTGGGAGGATTGCCTAGCCCATGGGTTCGAGACCAGCCTGGGCAACAGAGCAAGACCTCATCTCTACAAAAAGTTTTTGTTTGTTTGTTTTTTGAGTTGGAGTCTCACTCTGTCGCCCAGACTGGAGTGCAGTGGCCGCTCCTGGCCACCGCAGCCTTGACCTGCTGGGGGCTACAGCGATCCTTCCATCTCAGCCTTCTAAGTAACTGGAACTACAGGCGCGCGCTACCACGCTAATTTTTTATTTATTGTAGAGATGAGGTCTCGCCAAGTTGCCCAGGCGGGTCTTGAACCCGCGGGCTCAGGCAGTCCACTCACCTCAGCCTCCCAAAGGCGCGGGATTACAGGCTGAGCCACCGAGCCCGGCTTACAAAAAGTTTTAAAGAAATAACCAGGTGTGATGTGTGCCTGTAGTCCCAGCTACTCTGGAGGCTGAGGCGGAAGGATCACCTGCGCCCAGAAGGTTGAAGCTCTGGTGAGCCGGGATTGTGCCACCGCATTCCTGCCTGGGCAACAGAGTGAGACCCTGACTCAAAAAAAAAAAAAAAAAAAAGAAGCAGAAGGATGAAAATATCAGATTTTCTCTAACCACTGAGGAGCGACTAGAGCTTTCTCCATTGTCCTTTTCCCTGCCCCTAATAGAAACTGAAGGCTTGACAAAGGGCAAGAGGACACTCAGGAATGGAAGACAAGAAATCATCTGTCTGCCCAGGAGTGGGTATCTTCATTCTTGTTATCCTTCTTGACCTCCTCTCTCTCTCCGTTTGTCTCAGGTTCAAATTCTTCAAGGATGTTCCCAATAGCCGGATTTTGGTGTGTGGTGGAGATGGTACAGTAGGCTGGATTCTAGAGACCATTGGTCAGTGCAGGGAGAGGCTCACGGGAGGGGATGGGGCAGTGGTCTTGCAAAGCTAACTCCCTCCGTTTTTCTCTTCTCCTGCCCCTCTCCCAGACAAAGCCAACTTGCCAGTTGTGCCTCCTGTTGCTGTGCTGCCCCTGGGCACTGGAAACGATCTGGCTCGTTGCCTAAGATGGGGAGGAGGTAAGTGGTTAGCACTTGCTTTCCTGGGGGCTGGAAGGATTTGGGTAGGAAGGGAATGGCACACAGGAAGAATCTAGGTGTCCGGGGTAGAGAGAGGGTTGGGGAAGAAGAGAGCCGCAGATGCGTGGGTACTAAAGTCAGGTGTCCAAGAATAACAGAACTTCGGAAGAAGCTTGTAAAAAAATTAGCTGGGCATGGTGGGGTGCACCTGTAGTTCCATCTACTTGGAAGACTGATGTGGAAGGATCGTCTGAGCCTCCGCCTTCCAAGTAGCTGGAACTACAGGTATGCATTACTATGTCTGGCTCATTTATTTATTTATTTATTTGTTTGTTTATTTTTATTTTTATTTTTTTGAGTTGGAGTCTCACTCTGTCGCCCAGACGGGAGTGCAGTGGCCGCTCCCGGCCACCGCAGCCTCGACCTG